TGTTCTTTACTCTGGAATTATTCTCATTCACTGACTCCCTTTGATTATAAACAAAGGCGTATAATATTTCTTGGATCAAAGGAATAAGACGTTTTTCAATCCCCCAAACTTCCTTTTTTTTTTTCTTTCTTTTCTTAATGAAAGGAGCAGTAAAAAAAAAAAAAAGAACAGGGAGCAATAGAAAAAAAGAAAAAGCAATGTACTCACACAAGCTCTAGAGTAAGACTGGTCTGCTATAGAGGAGGGCACAGCAGCAATCAATCCCATGCTGAGGACACAGCATCCATACTGACCATCAGCAGGCAGCGGCTGTTCTTCTGGAAAGAGCCAGTGAAGCTCAGAGCCAAACAAAATGTGCCCAGAGCCACAGAGATGTACAGCCAGTACCAACATGCAGCATCAGAGAAGGTGACTGAAGAAGGTCTCTTCATACTGCACAGCTTCAGTGGAAGATAAGGACCATCAAGTCCAAACCTTGGTTCTACACAGAACCACTCAAAAGTCAGACCGTATGTCTAAGTGTGTTGACCAGATGAACTCTGGCATCTCGGGGCTGTGCCCACTGCCCTGGGCAGCCTGTTCCATGCCCACCAACCTCTGGTGAAGAACCTCATCCTAATCTCCAACCTAACCTTCCCCTGACACAGCTCCATGCTGTTCCCCCAGGCCCTATCGCTGTCACAGATAGCAAGCTCCGCGTTTCCCCTTCTCTCCCCAAATGGAGACCAAAATAGAGCAACCGGTCACGGTTAGCAAAGCGTGTGCTACGGAGGGCTCGAGCTCATCAGTCTGTCTCCATTTCATGCATTTTTCATGCATCGCCTCTTACTTCTGAGCTATTCATTATATCTTTGTTTTTACCTGCATCTAATGAGCCTTTACTGTGCTTTTGATCAGAGATTTTTCTGTGAAGACTTTTGCAAGGCTCTTCTCTTTTCATCTTCCTCAACTCCTCCTTCTCTTCTGCTCTTCTTAGTTGTTCATTTACCATCACAGGTAAAAATCTTTGAGAGACAATCGTTAGCCCTGGTAAGTGAGTCAGGACAGTGAAAGGGAGGAAATAAGGGCACATCCTGTGGTGCCAAATAGCAGCATCAATAGAAATGGTCCCCAAAGCATTCTTTCTCTCTCTCTTCTGGAAGATCCCAGATGGTGCCATCCAGAGGAGAGCCTTGGGGGCCTCCTGAATGAACCCTTCCTCTCAGCATCATATACCAGCAGAGACAAGCATGGGCTCACTGCCATCCATGCCATTATCACTGGGCCAGGAGCACCTAGGGAGATGGGTTCTGAATGGAGACTGAACGTCATGATTTCTCCCTACACCTACTCCTTCCTGCAATGTCAGCACAGTCACTGTTAGGTGAGTGCATCACTTCTCCTTCTGCATGGGTAGGACATGATTTGGTGGCTTTTCCTCCAGTAGGGGCTGGGAGACGACATAACAACCCCCTTAGTACTCATTATTTTTCCTCATGTTCTTCCCTGAAATACTATTGAATACACTTCTATTGATGGTTTTTGGAGGGTTTTTTTTAGCCTTAATCTTGATTCCTACCAATTTTCCAGAGATGGGGAAAGTTTTAAAAAGTTTCAACATGGGATGAAAATGAAAGGGTGTGTGCATATCTGGTGAGTAAATCCAGATGTGCTGTGCCCTGAGTGGCAAAAGGAAAGAGAGAGACTAGAAATGCAATCCTTTTTCCATAATATTTCATTAAAATATAATTTAAAAATGATTCATAGCAAATGCAGCAAATAAGTGATCTGGATGCTTTTCACTGCAAAGTAATGCTTTTTCATTTTGCAGTCATCTCAGTAAATATTATTAACCCATCTCACACCCTGGGAATTACAGATTCATAAAGAAATGTGGACAGTTGCCCTTTGAAGGGAACAATAAGACAAGCCAGATCACCATCTTCTCAAATGTGTGCCTTCTCCACCTGTATTCTCCCCAAGTACTACTGCTCTCACTCACAACTGATGATCATCACTTATTTTCCTGCACCCCATAATACCCCTGGGGGAGTTTAAATGCCCAGGGAGTACAAGTAATTCAGGGGAAGCATTGTGTTTGCCCATCTATTTGCTGCTCAGGGCATAATACCTATCTGCAGCTGAGTGGCTCCTGAACACTAACTTTCAGCATTGCCTGAAGGGAGGGGCACCACGAAGGAGAAATGAATGTGGGAGGGAAGGAGGGAAGGTGAGGGGGTGGAAAAACGAGCCTGCTTTACTGAATAATGAGGGGAGTGAAAATGAATGGGAAGAGAGAGAGAATAGCTGGTTTAAATATTTAATCTCTGTTGCATATGCTTTTGAAGAGGAGACAAAAGCCGTGGAACATCTTTTGTCTTGAACTAATTCTGACCAGAACTGAACAGCATGTGATTGTCACTTCTGTCATTTTCCTTAAGGTGGAGAGAAACAGATTGGTCCTACTGCATCAGCCCATCGTATCAGTCTGCATCTCCAACTGCAGCCAGCATCGGGAGCTGCAGAAGTGATGGCTCCAGATGGTGACACCTCTGCTCCACGAGTGTGCACTGCCCAAATGCTGATGCTGGTGAGTGCACCAAGCAGGCAGGCATAGCCCCTGGTAGTCATGGTGGTTCTTGCAGCCACAGCCTGCAATGCTCTGGGACTACGTTAGCCACATGAGAAGCTCAGCTTGGATTTCTTCATACAGTAGGAGTAGGAGGAATAAGTGCCTTCGGAGCATATTTCATTGTATGTCTGACGTTTATATCAGTAAATAGCCACAAGCTCTAAGAAAGATCGATGGTCTCTGATTGACCAGAGAAAACTGCTGAGATGGGGAACTTTTTCTCTTCTTATGGCCATAGCTTTAACACTCTGATTCATTTATTCCTTTTTCAGGCCTGGAAGCAGAGATGTACTGCCATCCCTGCTTCTCCAGTGGGCAAGTACTGAGAATTAACCTTATTTCTCCACAAGGTACCCCAAGAAGCCATGGGAAAAGCAGGGATACTTGAGCCACGAGGGAAGTCTTGGCCTTTTGTTAACTGCTGCTGAGCACATTCAGAACAAAAAAAAAGGAAAAAAAAGGAAAAACATACCCAACAACATAGCCACAGCAATGTCTGTGAGCCTCTGAAGACTCATTGTCAGCAACTATCTTTTGAAGGCTTTCTTTAGAAGTGACTTCTTACTAGCTATCTGCTGAGAGACCAAATAATACCAAGGTGCATAGCCAAGAATGTTCCCATCCTATTTTGATGTGCTTAAAGGAAATGGAATGGCTAGCTTAAATGCTGGAGAAGACAACTGAGTGGGAGTTTGGGCTTGATGAAGGCAGCTAGGCAAGAGTTTTGCATTTGGTTTACAAAGATCTTGAGTAGGCTGGGATTCCAGGCTGATGAGATGGTCTCTACAATGACTACAATTCTCTACACCTTTTTTTTTTTTTTTTTTTTTTTTTTTGCAAAGAACTCAGGTTCTTGCAAACTATAGACATGAAAGAGGAGTATATTCTCTGTAGCAGAATAGGACTTTAATTTTATGCTAATTTTGTCAGCAGCAATTCTTCCTGTGGCATCAACACCAGTATGCTGGTCACTAAGTTTGGATCTAAGCTGCACAGATTGCAGACAAGTCACCAAAGATGACACCTTTCAGTGAAGGTTTGATCTGAACCAATGGCTTGGGAGTGAAAAGCATCATATCTTTTTTCTATCTGAGCTGTAAAAATGCTCATCAACTTTGTACCAAAGAGAAAAGACTTGAGTTGACAGTGGTGTTGTGGTCTAAAAAGAGCCGAGTTCAGATCATGACCCATTAGCAGTTCACTGGCTCCTGAAAGAGGCCAGCAATGTTTTGGTGGTGCTGTGCCAAGCTGCGCTCTTCCTTCCCAAATTTGAAGCTGTCTGTACAAGGAGGAAGCCAGGAGCTGCTGCTTCCCAAAAGAAAAGAACCTATGGAATTCCACCAAAACAGCACAAATTCTTGTGGGAATTCTTGAGAGGAAACAGATGATGAAGTTGGATGATTATTTTCTTCAAAGAATAGTAAATTTGATCAAAGAGAAAGTGAGAGAAAACGTTGAGAGACTTGGAACTGCGAGTATATTTGGATTTGAGAAATCATACCTCCCTTCTCGTTATTTTTTGTATTTTTTTTTATTGTCAAAATATCTTGAACATCTCAGTGTTTTTCTTCCTTTTATCTGATTAGAAATCGTAAGTAGGCAATGCTGAAATACTTCATTTTAACTCTTTTTTAAATTATTTTTTATTTCATCTTTTATAATAGACATTATGGTCTGAACTATTGCTTCTTCAGCTCAGAAAGGAGAAAAGCAGAGTTAGTAAATGATGAAATAAATTGCAAACACACTTCTTCAACAAGGTCGGAGCAAACTGCCTGAATTCACTCTAATTTTCCTTTGTTACTCTGATTTGTCTGCCTCCCCGAGGTGCTTGTTTAGCTTATTTAAATACTAATGAATTAACAGCAGTCACACATCACCCTTGTTTCTCAATCAGACCAACTAGCAATCCCAAGAGAATGACACTGAGGGTGAGGGAACAGGAGATTGTATTCCATACTGCAAAAGAGTTACGGGAATTCTGGACAGAAAGCCTGTACTTGGGAAATGAGTCAGTCCACTTCTGCCTTGCAGAAAATATCAGTGCTGAAGTATAGAAGCAGTGTTTAGAAACAGCTTCTGAATTTGCAGCTGGCAAAGTGATGTCTGTGTCTCTCATACACATCCACTAACTCGCTCCCCACACATGCATGAGTACAGGTTTCTGGTGGGAAGAAAAGGAATGTGCAGTCTGGAATGCATATGAACTTTCTGTTCAGAAGGAAAAAAATAAAAGATTTTTCAACAGGCTCAAAATCCCACCCCCTCAGCACCCCTCCTTCCCCTGTGTCTGACACTGACTTCAAGGGAGGAGTTGAGCCAATTATCTGTGAGTCCTACAGAAGGGAAATCTGCAATTTGCCAGTAGTTGTGAGAGCCAGGGAGAGAGAGGCAGGGAGGGAAGGAGAAAAACTTAATCGGCAAACGTAAAGGAAAGCCCCTCCTGTCCTGGAAAGAGAATAGCACAATACCGATCCCAGGTCAGAAGAAAAGAAGCTTGTGGGGAGGGGTTTGTATGCAAGGCAAGACCTGGGGAAGCTTAGGCTCCCTGTAGATAACTTCCATGCCCTCAGTGATTTTTTCCCATAGGGACTGAGGTGGCATAGAGTGGATGAACCCCCAGACCTGCAGGACCAGGTGTTGCTCAAAGTATCCCTACTCCAGCAGAGCTGCCCAGAGGAGACTCTGCCTCTCCTCCTCACTTGAGGCTGGGAGCAGAAGAGCTCATCTCACTAAAAAGAAAAGCTGCTGCTGGTCCAGAGACCCTTCTTTAGCCCTGATCTAGTCATTGCTTTCCATGGGGGGACGTCCTCTGGAGCCCTGCAGTCCCTCCCAGTCCTGCTAAGTTCCCAGGAAATACTGGTGAAAAGCTGAGCCCCAGGCAAGCAACGTGGGATCCACAGAACGACAGCCTTCTACAGCATAGCTGCCTCTGGTTAAAATTACCGACTTCATCAGGCAACACCCAGACCCAGGGCTGCTCCTCGGAGGAGAGAGAGGTAAGAGAGCAGCATGGAGTTTGGGATGGCAGTGGGAGACAAACATCCCAAAGAAGTGATTTGAGTGTGCATGGGAACTGAGGGGTACTAGTGGTGACTAACAGGTGCCAGGTCTGTTAGGCATGATGCAGTTTGTATATCTGCCTATGTTGTTTTCAGCTGGATGCACTGAAGTATGTTTGGATGGCAAACGGAAGCATCAAACTGTAGCTAAAGACAGTGGAGTGCAAAAAAGGTGCTCCGGGAATGTGCTCGTGGATGGGGAGCAGTAGGGAGGATAAGCAGATGTCATTCCGTTCCCTGATGGGAGCTGGGGAGCTTGGGTGGCAAAGCTGCTGGCAGGTTGAATGAGGAATGTCTTTCTTAGGTAGTTCTCTCCAGGTGCTCAGGGCTAAACCTGGCAGCACCTCACTGGAATTCAGACAAGTGCTTTTCAGAGTGAGGAAAATCAGGTGCATTGTCATTTGCTCTTGTGTGCATCTACAGAACAGGCAGCGGGGGTCAGCAGGTAGAAAATGTGGGGAGTCCAATGAAACGAGGCTTAATGCTGATTCTGGACAGCTGTTTCATTTCTCTATGGGCACGCAAGCCTTTCCCTTTATTAACTGGAGATAATACTCACTGCCTGTATTTCTCTGGCATTCTGAAATCCCTTTACCAATATAAAATACTAATGCAGAGTTTCTGCCATGGAGACAGTACATAAAGAAAAAGGTACCACTGAGAATTAATCTATGCTTAAGCATTTAATAAACTGCAAGGAAAAGATGTAGATTAAAGCCAGCTGGAGGTTGTTTGCCTCCTCATTCTCTTCAGATTGATTTTGCTTTATTTAGTACATGAGCATGTGGCTCCTTTCTAGTTTCTTTCCTCTGTCTTTAATCTTTTTTAATGTATGAGTCCCTGTGCTGGGAATGAGGGCTGAAGTTTCTTTCCTTTTGTGAGGAGGAAAGAAGGAAGACTGCACTGCACTGGAGAAAAGCTGAAGTGGAGGGATAAGGAGAGTGCACAAAAAAAAAACAACCCCATAAGCTCCCAGCTTAACGGCATGCTCTGAGTCAGATTTGCAGCAGAGGTGATGAGATGAATAGAAACTCCAGGAATCAAAGTGCTGAAAAGCACCGTTAGACTCCATGTGAAATGAAAAGCAGTCAGGAAAGCATGGGAGACCTCTTAACTGAATGCCTGGACAGGCAGAATGAGGACAGTATAGAGTGACTATTTAATACATTAAAATCTGCAAGTCCTTACCTCTCTTCCTTCTCAGTGCATGTGCATCTCTGGGGCAAAGTGTCCTGAAAGTCACACGCCTGTAGGTAGGATTTTGTCTTTGATGGAGGTGGGAGGCAGCATGATTTTAGTGGCCAGAGGTGCCACAGTGTCAATTCCCTCTCCAAGGTGTTTTGGGTCCTGTGGCATTAGAATCTTAGAACCCCTGAGGTTGGAAAAGACCTCTGGTCCTACAGTCAACTCATCACCACCATGCTCATAAATTCACTGAGGTCTAAGACAATGGAGTCCATGTCAAGGAGGAAGACAGAAGCACCTCCTGCCCTCGGGGTGCAAAACCAGCTGTCCGAGAAGCACGGTAACACATCGAGCTCCCTTGATACATGATGGGGGTTTCTGACGGCCAGCAGCTCAGTGGTTACCTGTCAGAAAACAGTACACACAGTAGGAGTCAGCCAGGAGTGCAACTATACCAGTCCCTCCTGGTCCAAGGAGCTGACTCATTTCTAAGCACTGAGCACAGCCTGTAGAAAAGCTGGTGTTTTTCCTCATAAAATCTATGCTTTTCTCTGTCAGCTAAATATAGCCTGAGAGGGTGAAAGGAAGTATCCCATAGCTGTTCTGTTGACATTTGTCTGGCCCATGGATGCCTGACAGCATTGGACTCGCCGTGTAGGATAGAGACACTGCACGTGGAAGTGTTGTTTCAGATTAAATTTGGTGTTTCTGCAGGGCTGGAGATGGGTCCTATTCTAAACAAAGCAGTCCAATCCACAACAGGTGTGCTCCTTGTTGTCACTTCAGCAGCACCATAACTGTGTGTGTGTGTTTACATCCAAAGTTATAATCTGACATTACTGTCTGCCTCTAATATTGTGCAGCCCTGACCTCTGTGTGTAATTTAGGCCATAAGACACTGTAAGGAAAGTGCTGCATTTTCTTCTATGCTTTATATAGGGATGAATGTGCTGCTAGCAAATGATAGCAATAATCATAAATAGTCATGTTTTGCTGTTGCCTCGGGCTATAGCACTTGTAATGATTCTGGATTAGAATTCCAGAGACTCCTTTATTTAGCAGTGGCCGTATCTTCACTTCTGCTTTGGTGCTTTGCATATGTTAAACAAAGTCAAAGATTTTAAGCTCTTGACTGAGATAAGTGTCAGCTGCATAAACGCTTGGGAGATAAAATTCACTCAAGGGAAAGACAAGAATCCAGATCTGGACCCAGAGATGATATTTCAGTGTACACAAAGTGCTCAAATTGTAATATTAAGTAAACAACACCTAAGTTAAATAAACGGCACAGTGGGAACTTGATTATTCTTTAATAAGATCCTAGTAACCAAAATAAACTCTGCCCAGAATGTACTTTCTTTGCTTTAATGTTAGCTTTCCCCATTCTGGGGGTTGTATTTTTCCTTTCAGCACACAATGTATTTGAAATAGCACATGTAAAACGTCTGTGTGACCCTCCTTTTTATTTCCCCATCAAAGTTTCCTGCATCTGAGTAGCATCAAAACATGATCTCCAAGGTCTTGAGACAAATTTTCCTTGCCAGAGGTTGGAAATCTAGTCAGATAGTAATTTAAGATGGCTGTCCTTTGTCCTTTCTCCTCCTGTACTAGCACGCTCAATGACTGTCATACAACATCTGTGTATGTATAAAGATTGAAACTCCTATGAAATCTTTATTACTGCAACTCTATCCATTGTCAGCCGTCCTACTGCAAGGCAGTGATAATTGCAGCACTGATAGTTTCTTGGTAGGGAGTTCCCACACTATCAGTCCAAGCAGCTAGATTAAATTCTGGTTTCAGAAAGGTCACTGAAGGCACAGAATTTATCTCTACTCAGTGCTATTTTGCGTCTTGAACTCCTCGCGTCAGCAATGTAGGCTATATGGGACCAGCTATTTAAAATAACTGAGATGTCTAGCTTCCACAGATGTCAAACGTGATTTGGGCTTCTGTCTGACTTTTGGTTGATCTCAGAAGATGAATGCTGTGAGCTGTTCCTATTTAGGCAACCAAATGAAGTGGTCTAGGTCCTGACGACAGCTGCAGTGGATGTAGTACATTAGGAAATGTAATGGTAACCTCAGTGGGTGCAATATATTGGGAAATCTGACCTCTGTGTTTATGCATCTAAAACAGAACCAGAACTGAAAAATCTGGTAATGTCTAAGTGATGCAAATGGTGAGAAGGAACCTGGTGTCCAAGTTCAAACACAGCTGATAAAATTAGCCCTTCAAGGCTTAAACAAAATAGCAAATTACAATTAAAAACCATGCTATCTTCAGGGTAAATGCCAGAGCGTTCTTTGACCAACATGGTATGGAACATCCCTACTCTGTCCTCCACCTTCAGTTTCTTACCTTCAACTTTGTCGTTTCCTCCTTCAGGTCCAAGCAATGATGAAAACCATGTCCAGTGGAAACTGCACCCTGAATGTGCCAGCCAAGAATTCCTATCGCATGGTGGTGCTGGGAGCCTCCAGGGTGGGGAAGAGCTCCATAGTCTCACGCTTTCTCAATGGCCGGTTTGAGGACCAGTACACTCCCACCATTGAGGATTTTCACCGCAAGGTCTACAATATCCGGGGAGATATGTATCAGCTGGACATCCTGGACACCTCAGGAAATCACCCTTTCCCAGCTATGAGGAGGCTTTCTATCCTAACAGGTGAGAAAGTGAAGAAAGTTTGCAAACAGGGAACAATGGATAAAATATTATAATGATAAAGTGTAGCTTGAAAACTGTATCATGGAGATGAGTGTTTCTTGGGGATCGGAAGCATTTGGGAGACAGCAAAACGGGCTGTGGGATTTCACTGCAAGATTCACTTCTCCAGAGGGATGTTTCCTGGCTGGTATGCTTCCTATGCCGCAGAGGAGAAGTCCTCTGGGTGATGGTCTGAAATTAAGATTTCCCCCTAGTTTATTCCCCTGCTCTACCACCTCCCTCTCCTGCAACACATTTTTTTTCCTGCCGTCACAAATGAACGGTTGAATAAAATCTCGTGGGCAATAAAGAGCAGCGAGGGACAAAACAGGCATGTCATTATAAGACACCAGCAGTGAAAAGCAAATGTAAAATGCACAGGCAGGGAATTCAAACTGAGAAAAGCTCAAAGATTTTTTTTTTTCTTAAAAGTCCCAGCCTGATTCCCTTGGTTTAATATACCAGTAAAAAAGATCACTCTACTTTTACCCTTTCTCCTTAAGTCTACAATTAATCAAATGAATTAAAGAGGGAAAATAGTGGACTCATTTTGTACATCCCCATTGTCAGCGGTTCCTGTTGTGAGCTAAGATATGTTCTTGACCGCAGAAGTGACAGTGGAGATATATATTAAGCAACAGCTCATGACAAACCAATTCTCTGGGTCTGCTATCTTCCCTTCTGGATAACCAGTGAAACGTGACATTCGTATCAGACCAGGCTACCATCTGCATTCAGGGAGGTCCTAGGGCCAGTTTCTGGGGCGCGGATGTGAGCTTTTGTCCATGAAATCTCTTCACACTTTCAGCATGACTGTCATTCAACAGGCAATGATTCCTTTGCAAAAGGAATTGTATGTCAGAAAATGTCAAAAGGAAATGCCAGGGGATCTGTGTCATTTATGTATTTCTTTTTTTCCATGGTCTATTTCTCTCGAGAAAATGAAATGGCAGCAGAGCAGTGAACATGGGGAAAGCACTCATTCCTCATTTAGACATTTGGGACTGACTACCTGGAAATCTTTCATTCAGGTGTTTCTTGTACTGCATAATCAAAAGGCCAAGGCTGAATGGATACTAGTTCTCCACTCTTCCTGGTCTAAGAATAGCTATTTTACACAGCAATATGGACAAAATGAAGAAAAAGAAAAGCGATGCAGCTTTTTTAGAAAACTTGCTTACAAAGGACAGTACAAATGGGCAATAACCATTTGTAACCCATGCAAGTCCAGTGCAATCTGTGGGTACGTACTCAGATATGGCTGAAATAACATCAAAGCCATAAGCAATTGCACTACAGAAATGAGTGGGGAGTTGGATTGGAAGAACTGGAACTAAAGTAAAACAGAATGAAGAGATTCAAAAGGACTACATGAAAAGAAAAGAAAAAAAAAAAAGAGAACAACTATGGGGGGGAGATGGCAAATAAATGTATTGTTTTTCGAAAATTAGCTTATCTGACACAGGTTATTCTAAACATTTACAGTTTCCTTTTTCAATTGCAGGTGATGTTTTCATCCTGGTATTCAGCTTGGATAACAGAGAATCCTTTGATGAGGTCAAGAGACTCCAGAAGCAGATCCTCGAGGTCAAATCCTGCCTGAAGAACAAGACCAAGGAATCAGCTGACCTCCCCATGGTGATCTGTGGCAACAAAAATGACCACAGTGAAATCCACCGCAAAGTGCGCTCAGACGAAGGTGAGAACCTTGTGTCCAGTGATGAAAACTGTGCTTACTTTGAAGTTTCAGCTAAGAAGAACACCAACGTGGATGAGATGTTCTATGTTCTCTTCAGCATGGCCAAGTTACCTCATGAGATGAGCCCTGCTCTCCACAGGAAAATCTCCATCCAGTATGGGGACACTTTCCAGCAGAAATCCTTCCGGATGCGGCGAGTGAAGGACATGGATGCCTATGGCATGATCTCTCCCTTTGCTCGCCGGCCAAGTGTCAACAGTGACCTGAAGTACATCAAATCGAAAGTTCTCAGGGAAGGTCAGTCAAGGGAGAGGGAGAAATGCACAATCCAGTGAAGAGGGCTTGTGCTTCTGCCTGAAGTCATCATCCACATGAAGTGCCTTAAAGGAAAATGGTCTATGGAATCACAGAACGGGCTCACTGGGTTCATCGAGGAAACCCTGCACAGCAAAAGGGTAACTTTTCCTGCGGATTCTGCTGAGTCAATGAATGTAAATAACATCAATCTCATAAGCAACAAGGAAAAATTATACGCCTGAGTGTGCATTTCTCTGTAATGTTGTCCATCTTCATTCCCCTTTGTGTCTAAAGAAAACTGACTTGAGAAGTAAAGAAAAATCAACCTCATCCTTATAAAGAGAGTAGGTCAAAAATGCACAGAAGGCATCGGCAGTTACCCAATGTGCGGGACTTGCTAAGAGAGGAGGTTATGTCTTTGTATGTGTGTGTGTATGTGCATGCGAGAAGCACTCCTTTAAAAACAATGGGACTTTCATTTCAAAGAACAGCAGTCTTACCAAGGGAGTGGACTCTGCATACGGACACAAGGCTCTAAGTCACTTCTGAGGGGGCCTGCAAGAAGGTCATGATTTTATGCTTGCTGGGTCAATTATTGACATGAATGTTGTTTTGTATTATAGATTTTATTTGGGGTTTGCTTTTTGTATCATGTGGGTTCTTAGCCAAATCAGGTGGCAGATGTGCTTGATATCAAAACAGTGTCTACTTTTAGAAGTGAAAGATGTTTTCCATCTGTAAAACTACGTAATACTTACATTGATTGAAAATGAAATTGTTCTGCAAAAGGCCAATACATTTGACTGCTTTGCAAACCTAGTGTAATAGTTTCTCAAATCAGCCACACCAACTCTAAACTCCACAGTACAAATGCCATCCTTTGCCTTGTTGGACACCGGACCAACGGTTCCTTCCCTCTGCCTGTATCAGCTGAGACTGACCACGTGTTGGCTTAGACCACTTCATGGCAGGACTAGGTTTTCCTCCAACAGTAGAAACTGACTGATTGTAGACTCTTGATCTGGGACCAACTCCATCAGATTTCTTTTGTTAATATGTCTCTAGTCATTTTGTTCATGAATTTTCCTCTTGTCTGATAAAGGTTACCTTGACGAAACCTTTGTGCTACAGAAGACCTCTAGAAGTGAAGTTTCATGCTGGCTGTCCAAATGGGGCTGAACTGGCTGGCTAGATAAATCTGCAGCCATCATTCACATCTTCCCTTCCTCAAATCCATCCAGGCTTTTTCATCTTTAGCTCTCACTCTCCTGTTTCTGGTTTTGCTGTTTGATCTGCTTTTCTTTGCCATCAAAGCCACATACATTCTCTTAGATGTAAGCTTGCCACTCTCACTAACTGAAACAAGAGGCGTGCATGCATAACTGTGGACAGAGTGTGGCCCCCAAAATGTACACAACAGCAGAGTATATATGGTTTACATACCTCAGAATGGCCTTTGGGTACCTTGTGTCTCTCCCTCACCTCCAAACTCTTGTTCTTGGCTGTATTTGCTTTGCTGTGTCCTGGTCAGAGCTGTAAGCTAGTTCATTCTGTAATTTGACAGAAATCTAGGAATTATGGTTGACCGTGAAAATTAGCTGCTGGGACTCAAAATCCTATATTCATTTATCAGTTCCACCCTTCATTGGTACTGTATATTGACTGGTAAAATACACTGTTCTATTAACCCCATTTCCAGAGCAGCAACTTTCCAACCATTTCTCCCTCTCATCTATAAATATGTATGCCACTTATGATTAAACCTGTTTTATTTATTAGCTGTGTTCCAGTCCATTTTTACTTTCTCCAAGAACGAGGAAGGTCTTAGTTTATTCTTGTGCAAGTGCGGTATGAGTTGAGAGCCCAGATGAGATCTCCAGTAAATTCTGGAGGAGTCTTTTCTGTCCTCCAGACACTAGGAGCTTAAAAGTGGTCTGTCTGAAACAGACCTGTATCTATAACTACATCTCTCTCTCTCTCTTTCTCCCTTCCTTCCTTCTTATCTGTCTATCTCAACACCAATATATATGTACAGATATCCTCTCAAGCAGAAGCAGACAGCTAGTCTTTCCAGTGCTGCCTCCAGCAGTGAGGAACAGTCTCTCATACACAGAGCTGGTGTGCTCATCCCTAGTGTGATTTACCAAGGTCTCTGCAGAAACATCACTGTTTCTCTCAGCAGTTTCTCAATCGCACCATTTGCATCTCTCAGCTATAAGATCTCGAGCCCCCTGAGGACTTGCCTAGTTCCCTACAGACTCTCTGTCTAAGGCCATGACTACTGGTTGTGTCAGTGATCAAGCTCTGGGATGCACGTGCCATACGAACACGAGTGGAGGGTTGAAAACAGAGTGAAAAGAGCATGAGCACTGGGCACCAATTAGGATTTCAGGAAGCTAGAAAAGAGTTCATTGGACTGTAGCCTATGCACTGTATTACTGAGCTCTCCTTGCCCTGCTTAATAAAGCTGAGTTTTTTAAGAGCCTTTATAATCACCAACTCCTTACAATATTGACCTTACAATTATTTTCCCTACTGTCCTTTTACCCTCACAAAGCCCCCCAGCTTTTCTAACTCTTCCACGTCTTCCCATTCATCTTTTCTGGCATGGGTAGGAAGACACTGGGTGCAGAAAAAGTTTATGGAGACAGCCAGGCACAATAGTAGGGGAGGGCAAAGACCAAGCAGTAGCAGCTGACTGGATCTCATAGGACAGAGAGTGAGACTCCTCTTCAGCATCCAACATGGCCTGCCAATGGTTGGATTGAGTAGCATCTGTGAAACTGACAGAGAGAAGGTGAAACAGCATCACAGGCAGTGACAGAAACAAACGAGAAAAATCAGGTAATCTTATTAAAGTAATCCTAGATTTCTCTCTGCATTTTGTTATTGATGGTAATTGCTTCTGAAGTTAGATTATCATGTTCCTGAGGACATTTATTGCTTTGCTTTTATTATATCATTGCAGTCGTTCTATTAATATTCATATATTATTTGGACTCTAGAAGTGCTTGCAGCCCCTAAGACAAACAGAACACATCTCAATTGTTTATTCACAGTTAGCAGCCATTATGTTCTGTGAAAAGGGCTAGGGCTGTTAGCAAGGCTGCACAGAGGGCACAAGGCAAGGCAGGCAGAGGAAAGGTGAACTGTTTCCTCTCTGCCAACAGTTTATACTTGGCTTCAAGGCAGAGCAGAGCATGATGCTATTGCTATGGGGAGCTCTATTAAGTACATGCAGAGACTGAGAACCAGAAGTAGCAGAGAGCAAACTCACAGCTAGCCTCAGAGGCAATGAAAGGAGATAAGTGTTTTTTTTCTTCATGGGATCATGGAATCTGCTTACTGTAACCCCAAAAACGTGGCATATTGCTTAGCCCTTGGAAAGAGAGATATGTATCTCTCAGAAGTCATTGTAATAGGACAAGGAGAAATAGTTTCAAATCAAAAACAGGGAGATTTAGACTGGATATAAGAATATTGTAAGAAACTTCTTATAATAAGGGTGGTGAGGAACTGGCACAGGTTGCTCTGAGAGGTGGTGGATGCTCCATCCCTGGACACATCCAAGGTCAGGATGGAGGGGCTCTGAGCAACCTGATCTATCTGCATCTCTGTACACTGCAGGGGAATTGGACTAGATGATTTTTAAAGGTCCTAGGATTCCATGATTTTAAGTTACTAAATGTGCTGGACTAAGGGCAAGCCTGGAGGAAGAGATCCATCCTGAAAAGATGCTGCAAGAATGTAGAGAAGTTTGTTCATCGACAATCCACCCTTAATTGAGCTTACCTAGCATAATTAAATTGCTTTATTTCAAGATCTACCTTGTTCTGCATTGCAGTCTATAAAACCTAGCATTAGTGAACCAAAGCCTCAGTGGTTTTTGATTTGTTTTTTTTTTTGTGTGTGTGTACCCTCTATCAGAGCAAGGAGCAGGGACATGTAACTGACTTAGAATCTGTCAAGGAATAAGACAGGGCTGAGATTAATTTTGTACAGTGCTCTACACAGTGAAAAAGTCCTTGTCTTGAAGAAATTACGACTCAACGCTTTATAGAAGTTACCATAAAAAAATTAGGAAAATCTAATTAAGCCACAGGGTCAGAACAAATCAGGAAGGAAATAATGGTCACAGTGAATTAAGAAAAGAATAAATTGAGGGTGGGAAGGGCAGAGTGAAAGCCTGTTTTGACATCCAGAGGACCAAATTAGATTTCTGTCCTGAAGGATCCCCAGTAGGACTGCTGCCACTAGGCCAGACTGGTGCTAGAGGAAGTCTCTAAGGGTGCAGTCTCAGCACTCAAACAGCATTGTCTCTTTGAGACCCCAGAGTGGCCGTAGGAGGATGGGTGAATAAAAGAAAGGTAGATTCAGCTGTACGTTAAGAAATGTAGCTTTCACCCTATTGCATGTTTCATTACACACAAAGAAAGTATGACTACAGTTTATTTAGACTTTGTCCTTCTTCAAATGTTAACCTCTGCTTGCTGCATCAGACCCACACACAGCCTCATTTTCCACCACATTTTTTTCAGCCTTAGTTTTATCTTCCCTTCACGTTCCATGCTATAGCTAATCTTTCTATCCCTCTCCTAGCATCTTGGCTAGGATTGAGGGTTATGAGCAGAAGTGTTTTTGAAATAAGCGATGATTATTTCATTTGATTTGATATTGCAGCTACTACTTTTAGGGTTTTTATTAGCAATATTGTTTCTGTAAAAATACATAGTGGCAGGCTAAGATTAAAGGGTCTTCTTAGAACAAGATATAAAATGTGATAAAATGCACATTTTCCCCATTGGTTTCTATAGCAACAATCTTCTCTCTGCATTCAGAAAGATCAAAGAATTTGCAGGGGGAAGATGAGTAGCATTGAGCTGTCCTAGATCCTTCACCTCTGAGCCCTCACAGGAAGTTCTCCTCCCTTCAGTTTCTGTGATGTGGAGAAACAAAGACCACCAACCAGACCTACATTGCCAGCCATTCAATATGCCTGGTAAAGCTGTGGGATACCCTATAACAGATAAGAAAGTAATTTCCATGGTAATATTGTAAACCAAAGCATTGCTTGTAGCACAGTACCTGCCTTGGGGAATCATAGAAGCTGGAAAAGACCATTAAGAACATCTCGCCCAACCACCAAATCATCACCACCATGCCCACTAAGCCAAGTTACTCAGTGCCATATCTACCCTTTTATTGAAAACCTCCAGTGGCAGTGACTCCACCACCTTCCTGGTCAGCCTGTTCCAACAAATATGTATCACCGCTCTAAACGCAACTTCCATACTCAAGTTTAGAGCTATGAGATTTTGCCCACTTTTCTCTTTCCTGTGTCTTTGCAGGCTGCCATAGAATACAGTCAGAGCATGAGACTTCCTGGAGATGTATTTTCTTTGGCTCTCATGACAATATCAGTCAAAGGCCTTTCCCTGCCCCCGTCATCATCGGACATCCACAGCAAGCAAGGCTGTCCTGGGTCCCAGGCACCACATTCCTAGAAAGTTATTGACTGTTTGGAAGGAGGCCAAGAACCAACAAGAATAAACATTTTATGAGCGTAGGGGGATTGACTTGAGTAAGCCTTGAAAGAAAACTGAAAGGGATAATTCTGTGCCACACAGGAAAACGAAGTCTGAGAAAGGCTGGCTGGAAACTCCCAGACATGTTCAAAAGATAGAGATTACAGCTAAGACAGCACATTGTTTGGAGTTGGACAGTGGGATATCTCAGTGGGAGCAAGAGTATTAAGTGGGAAGTCATTGGAGAAAGAGCAGGGCAGACTTTAGGGCGGTGTAATCTATTTGCAAATTTTCTGAGATGTCATCAAAGTCCCATTGGGAAAATATTGGGAAAAAAAAACATCAGTATCTATATAGCCATAATGAGTAACTCAGTGTTGATGGTGAGATGGACTGGTTGAACCAGTACAGTATTCTAACCCTCACACTTCACTTGCTTCTGCCATGCAGCCTGATCAAAATCTTCAAAGCAATTCCCCAGATTGCCCATCCTCATTGCAGCCTCTTGACCCCCCATGCAGAGGGTCAGTAAGTCACCAGTCCCCTCCAGCCAGACCACTAACAATAGAGACAAGGCTTCTTATGTCAGAGCCTGTTGATTAAACCATTTCTATAAAGATCTGGGACTGTTTGCAGCAAAGAACCCTTTCAGCAAACTATCCTTGAACAGTTCCTTGCATGTTTGTTTATTGTTCAGAAGTATTTGATGAATGATTTATGCAAAAAGTATACTGTGCTGTGGCTGGGATGGATAGCTGAGATTAGCTCAGATTAAACATGGAAACAAAGAGGGATGAGATCACTGTGTTTCAGGACATATAGTAGCAAAGTAAAAGAATTTAAATGGAAAAAAAAACCCCAACAACTTGAATATGTGTCCTCATATCACTCTGATCTAGAGGGAAGAAAACTTGCTTTTTAGCCCCTTATTCCTCCTCTCCAGGCTGCTGAAGGTCTATAGTTATTCAAGACCATAGTTATTCAAGACTGTCCACTTGCAAGCTTTTGATATTCAGCACTAAAACAGTTCATAGATGAAAGCACTGAAAATTTTAATTTGGTTTCAGCAGTATATCAAGTCCATATTTTGAGATAAATTAAAAAAAAAAAAAAAAAAAAAAAAAAGAGAATGAGAGAAAATAAGCTCTACAATTGTAGTGAATAAAATGGAGAGAGAGGAAAAAAAAAAAAGGAAATTTCTGTCTCCAAGAAGCAAGGGTCTCACACACTGAGACCCTATCTGGAAAACTACA